AATCAATAATACTCTGCCAACAGCCTTCGAGAAACCTTCTCCGTTGACTGTTACTTTGTTAGCAAAGTGAACTTATCGGAGACATCCATCAGTTTAGCCTTCGGCATCGCTGAAGACTCACGTGGGACCACATATCGATTGCTTGAATCTGTGGGGCAAAGGATCTAACGAGCATAGCTTGGGTTGATCCCCAAATCCGATAGAGCTATCAGTCTTTACGCGAAAGGAAGGAGTTACCAAGTAGTCTTTTGAGTAGTGTGTTTCATTTCCGCCATGCGGTTAATTGCACTCAATCAAACAAATGTTTACCAGCGATCAAACATGACTTCTGTTTACCATAGACGATTGTTATGACAAAACACCCAAAACAAAAATTATCGATTGGCTTCTTCAGGCGGCTGTTTACTGTCTCGCCTGGTTTGTAAGCTGAGCTTCGTTCAGATGATGGTGGTGGTGGAAACTAGCCACATCTACAGGCACGTGATACCCAGCCGTGTGTTTTCTGAAAAAATTTGCTTATTACACCTTCGCTTCATGCGGCTCGCAAATTACACTTTGGTAATCTGAGCAAGGCGCCTTTGGGAATCCGATAGCAGCTATGCTGAAAATGCGTTCACCTTAAGCCGGTTCTGTCGGAGCCTTTCCTGTGGAGCGTTTATTCATCAGTATCCTTCCGTAAAAAGACACTTTACCAACCCGTATTTTTGCCCTCGCTTTCAAAAACTCCAAGTCTTACTATCTCCGTCATCACCTGTCTAGATTTGGGCAACCTGGCAGTATCCTAGCCCTCATGCTTCCACCGGGTGGCATAGGAGCTGGGCACTGAGAGAGTGTCACAGCTGACCAGTTTGGGGCGAGATGGCTCAGTGGCGAGGGCGCGAATTTTCTGACTGGAAGGTCCGTGGTTCGAACCCGACCTCTGCCTTTCGACTTCTTCTAGGCTTGAACGACCTGGCAGTATCCCATCCCTCGTGCATCCTTCGGGTGGCATGGGAGCTAAGAACCGTAAGGGTGCTGTAGCTGAACGATTATCTTTTACCAGAGTTACAGGAACAGGTATAGACGTAACACGTTGTTCCTAAGATTGTGGAGAGCAAATGAGTGTATTTCTCCAAAACAGTCCAATTTGTGTTCAGGTAGATCATAAGGTTGATGGAAACTCGGGGACTGCGCTTACCTGATGAGCCCCATGAAGGGCGAAACCGGTCGTGGGTTGTCGAAGAGTTTTCAGCAACCCTGTGAGTAGTATCCTGTATGAAAATATACTGCGATATCTCAAATATCGTGCCAACGGAATCATGAGGCGGCCTGTGTGCAGCACATTCAG